CCTGGGACTACTTCTGAAAGCTGCACCAGGCCCAGCTTCCCCGAGGACAAGGCTGACTCACGGAGCGAGGACAAGGCAGACTCACAAAGTGAGGACAAGGCTGAGCTGCAGTCGGCACAGGTGGAGTTAAACAGGCCATAGCCAACTCGCTCCTCACCCGGGGTCTGCATAGACCCCACCTGCAGCCAAATTACATTTGAGCACACAGTAAAAGGATTAAAACTGATGATCCTCCTGCTCTCTCCTTTCCATTTCTTTGCTCTCAGTTTAGTCACTGTTTTTGTTTGTTTGTTTGTTTGTTTGTTTTGAGACAATGTCTCGCTCTGTCGCCCAGGCTGGAGTGCAGTGGTGCGATCTCAGCTCACTGCAACCTCCGCCTCCTGGGTCCAAGCAATTCTCCTGCCTCAGCCTCCCCAGTAGCTAGGACTATTGTGCACCACCACACTTGGCTAATTTTTGTATTTTTACTAGAGACAGGGTTTACCCATGTTGGCCAGGCTGGTCTCGAACTCCTGACCTCAGGTGATCCACCCGCCTCTGCCTCCCAAAGTGCTGGGATTACAGGCATGAGCTACTGCGCCTGGCCAATTTAGTCACTTATTTTATTTTTTTTTGAGACTAAGTCTCACTTTGTCGCTCAGGCTAGAGTGCAGTGGCGTGATCTCGACTCACAACGTCCACCTCCCAGGTTCAAGCGATTCTCCTGCCTCAGCCTTCCGAGTAGCTGGGATTACAGGCATGCACCACCACGCCTGGCTACTTTTGTATTTTTAGTAAAGATGGGGTTTCTCCCTGTTGGTCAGACTGATCTCGATCTCCTGACCTCAGGTGATCCACCCGCCTCGGCCTCCCAAAGTGCTGGGATTACAGGCGTAAGCCACTATGCCCGGTCAATTTTTGTATTTTTTAGTAGAGATGGGCTTTCACCATGTTGGCCAGGCTGGTCTCGAACTCCTGACCTCAAGCAATCCACCTGCCTCAGCTTCCCAAAGTGTTGAGATTACAGGCATGAGCCACCGCACCTGGCCACTTTTATTTGTTTGCTTGTATCAGGACTCTTGGAAGCAAGTGATAGGAACTTAAACCGATTTTAAAAAGAGGCTTATTAGTACAGGGGTTAACTGGGCTTCAGGTACAGCTACATTCAGATGCCCTGAAATTGGCTTGGGCCTTGATTTCTCCCCTTCTTGGCTTTGTCCTCCCATGTGGACACTTTCTCAGGAGGGCCCTCACCTGCTGTGGGGCACAGCTGACTTTTGCCCAGCCACGGAAATAATCTCTTTAAATACGTCCTAGGAAAAAAAAACTCCTTGGCTCTCATTGGCTGGTCTTGAGTCACATGCCCATGCCTGGCCCAATTGCTGCAGCCAGTGACAAGGATGTTCTGAGAGGCCACGCCCAGGTCCCCACCCACTCCTGTCTCTGGATCCCCGTGAATGGGAGTCGGGGATGGGCTCCCAAGGAAAACAAGAACGTTGGACCCAGGAGGCAGGAGGATGGAGGCCGAGCCAGCAACACAGCAGATGCCCTTACAAAACCACGGACTGTCAGGATCAGCGGCACCTGGGAGCCTGCTGGCATGAGATTCTTGGCTCTGCCTTGCACCTGCCAAGTCAGAATGTCTAGAGGAAGCACAGGTTGTGTTCTTTTGTGTGTGTGTGTGTGTGTGTTTTGAGAGACAGGATCTCGCTGTGTTGCCCAGGCTGGAGTTAAGTGGCACAATCCCAGGTAACTGCAGCCTCAACCTCTCGGGCTTAAGCCTCCTGCCTCAGCCTCCCGAGTAACTGGGACCACAGGCATGCACCACCACGTCCGACTAATTTTTTTTATTTTTATTTTTGTAGAGATGCAGTCTCGTGACCCTCCTGCCTTGGGGTTACAGGTGTGAGCCGCCGGGCTGGGCTGACAGGAGTGTGTGCTCTAACACACTCTCCAAATGTTGATGCACACTGATGTGTGAGAACTGTCTGTCAGCCCCCCACTAAAATTAGCATTTTATTCACTGATGTCAATATCCTCGCCAGGACCAGGTGCGGTGGGGAAGGGGAGGTCCCAGGGAAAGTTGCGAGGCTGTTCCTGGAGAGGGTGTGCCACACAGACAGGCACGAAGGTGGAGATTCTTGACCTAAAGCAGGCTTCGACTTGTGATCCTGGGGGATAATTACCATCTGCGGTTTTCTTGTTTTCCAGCCTAAAACCTGAGGCTGGGTTCCCTTGGGAATACAGAAACATCTAGATTCCAAGGCACACATGCTGCCACTAGCTAAACAAAAAATAACAAGTGTGCCCTTAAAGCACTGCAGAGATGTCCCTGCTCCACTGTCAACAGTTCTTGTTCTTGCCCTGGGGGGTGAGGGACGGGCCTCCCGAGCAGACCTCAAGGCCTACTGGACACAGCCTCTGCTGGGCTTGAGCCAGAGGCCCGTCTGGGCCCTGGGCCGGCTGCCGGCTCTCCTGGGGACCGACTGTGACCTTGGCCTCACTCACCCAGGGTGCTGGTGCTTCCTCTCTGCGTGGAGCTCAGCTCCTGGTGGCCTCCTGCTGGATTTTTATGGATGTTGGATGCAGATTCTTTAAGGGTGCCCGCTCCCCAGATTCCCTTCTTTGCAGAGCACAGAGTCCCATTGGGAGGCCTCTGTGGCCTCTGACCAAGGAGTTCCCCAAGCCTCTTTTTTCGCATCTGTAAAATGGGGACTGGTTTGTGTCTCCCACGACCGTTGAAAGACTACAGTTGTGCAAGTGAAGCCCTTGGCGAGAAGTGAGTTGGTGACGGGCTAGAATCTGCAGTAAGAACGGAAGCCAGCTCCTCGCACTGGGTCACTCACCCTTGGCAGTCGCCCCTTCTCTAAGCCTCCATTTCTTCTTACATAAAATGAGGGTCCCGCAATACTTTCTGTAGTGGCTTCTGTTTTGTGCCATGCTGCTATTCATGGATGGCAGTGCTTTTTTTTTTTTCTTTTGAGATGGAGTCTCACTCTGTCGCCCAAGCTGGAGTGCAGTGGCTCAGTCTCTGCTCACTGCAAACTCCACCTCCTGGGTTCAAGTGATTCTACTGCCTCAGCCTCTCCAGTAACTGGAACCTCAGCTGTGCGCCACCGGCTAATTTTTGTATTTTTAGTAGAGACGGGGTTTCACCATGTTGGCCAGGCTGGTCTTGAACTTCTGACCTCAGGTGATCCACACACCTCGGCTTCCCAAAGTGCTGGGATTACAGGCATGAGCCAGCTCGCCCAGCCTGGCAGTGCTTTTAAAGGGGGTCTGTCCACATACCTTCCTCCTCCTAGTAGTATCAGGATTCCCCTGGGGCCTCCTGCTCCCCACTGTGTGAGGTCTTGGTGAGGACATTAGCCGGGTGTCTGATGCTCCAGCAACTGAGGGCTGGGTATTGGCTCAAAGTAAGATCCCCAGGCGTGTGGGACACACCCGGGAGGAGGCAGATGGGATGCCTGCCGGAGAGGACGTGGGGCTGCGGCTGCGTCGGGGCCCCCGGGTTTGATGATTCCCCAGGAAGAGTCACCGGGTCCAGCACAGAGCCACCCTCAGAGCTAAGCTACATTCAGCAAAAGGATGCAGAGCGAGATCAGCCACGCGAAGAGGTGCCTGGGCTGTATCTGGAGGACTCCAGGGGAGACACACAGGACAGACTTAATTCTCCCCTAAACCAGCAGCGACAACACGTGTGACGTGTTCTGTACCAGGGCAGCTCACTAGCGACTCAGTGCCCAAGGGTTTATTGGGAGCTGTTCACATAGGCACCTGATAACCAGCACGTGGCCCAATTCCAGACTCGCCGCAGGAGGGAGAGCAGGTGTTTGGCATGAAGGCAGCTTACGGTGCCACCAGTTGGTGCTGGGAAAACACCAGGTAGGACCTGACAGCCACCCTGATAAAAATGCAAACATAATAGGCATAGAGAGAACCTTCTCAAACCGCAGAGCATCCGCCTGGAACTTCCAAGAATCATGGTGAAGGTTGGCTGAGATGATCCGCAGAAGCCCCTGGCCAAGCGCTGGAACCCAGTAAGGGCTTGGTGGCTTCCAGGACCTCTCAAGTCACCTCCCAGCCCACCCCGTTCCTCCACCACCGTCTCCCACCTGCATCTCCCCGGACCGCCTCCTATTTAACCCCTGCTCCCCTCCAGGCGCCTCCTCAGTCTGTCCTTCACAGCAGCTGGGGGGTCCATTTAAAAGGTCAGCCAGGGCTGGGCGTGGTGGCTCATGTCTGTAATCCCAGCACTTTGGGAGGCCAAGGTGGGCGGATCACCTGAGGTCAGGAGTTTGAGAGTAGCCTGGCCAACATGGCGAAATCCTGTTTCTGCTAAAAATACAAAAATTAGCCGGGTGTGGTGGCAGCCACTTGTAATCCCAGCTACTCGGGAGGCTGAGGCAGAAGAATCACTTGAACCCAGGAGACAGAGATTGCAGCGAGCTGAGATCGCGCCACACACTCCATCCTGAAGGACAGAGCAAGACTCTGTCTCAATAAATAAAATAAAATAAAGGTCGGCCAGGTCTCCGCCTGCTCAAGCCTGCAGTGATCTCATTTCCAGGCTCCCGACACCCCTGCCCTGCTGTGGGCCCATCTTCCTTGCAGGCCTCTGCCTAGATTATCAAGGCCAGTGTGGGCGTCACAGCCACCACTGCCTTCTGTCCTCCACCCCGTTCTGAGTTCCTCTTCCAACGTGCAAAGTGTTCGCATTTCGATTAGCTTGTCTCTCCCAACCCCTGCAGAGCGAGCCCTGCGGGAAGGGGTTTTTCCTTGCTAGGTGCACCTGTGTGCATGCAGGTGCTGGCGGCATTCTCATCTGTAAAGTGAGCACCAGTCTCTGGTCCCCTCGAGAACCTTCGCACCATCCCCCGGGTGTGTCCTCCCCCAAGCGAGTCTCCGTCCCTGCCCCAGCAGCACCTTCCTGCTCTCCTCCCTCTACTCCGCGAAGCCCCCGATCCTGCTCCCAGAACAACGGGAGAGGAGAAAGCCCTCGAGCCCCAGCTGGCACTTACCTGATGCCTCGGTGACATCGTCAAATTCCACCTGGAAGAGGTAGCCAGTGTTCCAGACGTACAGGCAGGATACTGCGTCATAGGAGACCCTGAGTGGCTTTAGCTGGGGGTCGTAGATGCTGTCCCTCCACTGGATGTTGATGGGAGACTGCCGGGTGCCCCCTGGCACAGAGACTGGGCCCGTCCAGAGTGGGTGCACTGCGGGGAGAGAGAAGGAGACCCTGAGTGAGGCATCAGCTTCATCCTGTGTTTTGGACGGACAGGGCAGAAACCCGGCCGCACGAGACCCCACAGGTCTCGGCTCACGGGAAACTGGCACGTGGGGGCCCCTGGGCAGCTGGACATGCGCCCACAGGGTGTTCGCCTTCTCCTCTCTTTTCCGCATCACCTGGGGACTCTCTTTCCCACCCGGAAGCAGCTCCCTCGGCCCGTGCCGCCCGTGTTGATGGGTTTTTGACTTCTGTGTTGCCGTCGCCACAGAGTGGCCAGGAGAAGTACGGAGAGACCTTGGGGAGGGCAGGTGCACGGAGGAGGGCGCTGTCCGGAAGGCAGGCTGAGTGCAGTGGGGCTCTTGTCTCTCCGGAAGGGTTTGAAACCTCCCTTCCTCCTCACAGGAATCCCACCTCGTGGGTCCTGTGGAAACTGGAGCTGCTTTGGAAGTCTCACCCTCCAAGCCCTCTGGCAAGGAGGAAATGAAATCTCAGCGGGGAGAAAATTCAGCAGAGTGGCAGCCCCTCTACCCACTTCCTCGAGGCTCGTTTCAAACTGCTTTGATTGTCCTTTTTAAAGTAAGAGCCACTAATCAAAAACAGTTGAGAGGCCAGGAACAGTGGGACACGCCTGTAATCCCACCACTTTGGGAGGCGAGGCGGGCGGGCCATCTGAGGTCAGGAGTTTGAAACCAGCCTGACCAACATGGTGAAATCCCATCTTTACTGAAAATATAAAATTAGCTGGGTGTGGTGGTGGGTGCCTGTAATCCCAGCTACTTGGGAGGCTGAGGCAGGAGAACAGCTTGAACCCAGGTGGAGGTTGCAGTGAGCCGAGATCACACCACTGCACTCCAGCCTGGGTGACAGAAACTCTGTCTCCAAAAGAAAAAAGCAGAAAAGTGTATGCGTGAAGCAGCAGCTGTCCATGGTCGCACCCCACGTTGTGTGTCTGCCCCGCCTATTCTCTGTGCAGAGCCTCATTCAAAGACAGAGCTGGATTTTTCTTTTTTAAGAGACAGGGTCTGAAGGCTCCTTGGGATATCCTGCTCTCGAAACCTGAGAACAGCTTCCAAATACAGAGTCTACAGAGTCCCCTTGTCTGGGGACGTCACCGCAGAGGCCTGGCGTGCCCTGCGGCTCCTGTCCTCACCTTCACAGGCCTGAGCTAAACCAGCTCAGGTTCTCAAAGGGGATTAAATGGAATAGTCTTTTTTTTTTTTTTTTTGAGACGGAGTCTCGCTCTGCCGCCCAGGCTGAAGTGCAGTGGCGCGATCTTGGCTCACTGCAAGCTCTGCCTCCCAGGTTTACGCCATTCTCCTGCCTCAGCCTCCCGAGTAGCTGGGACTACAGGAGCCTGCCATCTCACCTGGCTAGTGTTTTGTATTTTTTAGTAGAGACGGGGTTTCACCGTGTGAGCCAGGATGGTCTCGATCTCCTGACCTCGTGATCCACCCATCTCGGCCTCCCAAAGTGCTGGGATGACAGGCTTGAGCCACCGCACCCGGCCCTGGAATAGTCTTTTTTTGAGATCAGGTCTCACTGTGCCGCCCAGGCTGGAGTGCAGTGGTGCCAATCGCCACAGCCTCGAACACCCAGGCTGAAGTGATCCTCCCATCTTAGCCTCCCGAGCAGCTGGGACTACAGGTAAACACCACCACGCCTGGCTAACTTTTTCATTTTTTGTAGAGACAAGGTCCCACTATGTTGCCCAGGCTGGTCTCAAACTCCTGGCCTCAAGCGATTCTCCTGCCTCTCCCAAAGTGAGTCAGGCATCTCCCAAAGTGCTGGGATTAGAGGTGTGTACCACCACACCAGGCGAGGATTTTTTATTTTAATGAACAAGATTTTTACTGTGTATATTATCTTGTAAATTGCCTTTTTAAATTTAACTGTGAACTCATTTTGTCAATTAAAAAAATATATATACACAATTCTTTTTAATGGTGATACATTTATATTGTACAATTATGACACAATTTTTAAAATCCATTATTTGGTGATGATATTTAGGTTATTTCCAACTTCTTGCAGTTAAAGCTGTGATGAAGTTGCTGTTCTTTCTCTGTATTCTCATCTGAATTATTTTCTTGGAGTTCTTCGCTTCTGTGGCCCAGGGCTGCGAGTGCAGTGCCGGATCTCAGCTCACCTTCAAGCTCCGCTCCCCGGGTTCAGCCATTTCTGTCTGCCTCAGGCTCCCGAGTATTGGGACTACAGGCGCCCGCCCGCTTCGCCCGGCTAGTTTTTTGTATTTTTTTTAGTAGAGACGGGTTTCACCGTTGTTTAGCCAGGATGGTTCTCGATTCCTGCCTCGTGATTCCGCCGGTTCTCGGCCTCCCAAGTGCTGGGGATTACCAGCCTTGACCCCACGCACCGGCCGTCTGAATTAGTTTCTTTTAACAAAACTTCCAAATAACCACAGGAAAGTTGCCCTGGCCTCAGAAAGGGGTGTGTCCAAGCCAGAATGTCTTAGCAAAACGAAGGAAATGGCCGGGACGAATGCAGAGTGGAGACTCAAGGCACTGTAATCCCAGCCAACTCTTGGAATAATAAGGAGCCGAGACGGACCGTGGATACCAACGAAAAGAAGAAGGTCAGTGAGAAAGATCAGAGGACCCATTAGCCTGGAACCAAAATACACCCAGTGAACCAGACCACCCGTCATAAGTACATCACTAGAAATACAAAAAACAGAGCAGGCCGAGTTAGGCAGGTTGGCGGGGCCCGGCCTGTAGTCCCAGCTACTCAGGGAAGAGCATGAGGCACGGAGAATGGCGATCAGGAACCCGGGAAGCGGAGACTTGCCCAGCTGAGGCTGAGATCCGGCCACTCGGCACTCGTAGCGCTGGCCGCTATCAGAGCGAGACTCGGCGGTCTCAAAAAAAAAAAAAAAAAAAAAAAGAAACAAGGACTGAAGGATGGATAGCCCATGGCCGCCCTGGCGTGGCTGGCTCACTGCCTGAGTATGCGGCCGCGTGCAGTCCATAGGAGCGCGACGCGTGGCGCTGCTCACCTGGAGGTCAAGCGGAGTATTTGAGGACCAACTTGGCCAACATGGAAACCCTGTCGTCTGATCTCAATTATGCAAAAATTAGCCCAGCGTGCCAGGGTGGCCCCTCATGCCGTGCTAATTCCCGCAGCCTACCGTGCGACGAGGCTTGGAGGCAGGGAGATGACTTGAACCCTTGGGAGGCCGGAGATTGCCAGTGAGCGGAGATGGCGCCATTACACTCCGCCCTGGATGACAAAAGCCCAAAAACTTCAGTTCTCAAAAAAAAAAAAAAAAAGAC